CCAATCGAGAATGTCTGGGGGTTATAAAAACGAATCTGGCAAAAAAATATTAGAACTCTTAAGGGTCTAAAGAGCAAAATAACAAAAAAATGGAACTCCTTACCTAAGGAGTATGTGACTAAATTAGTTAGGAGTATGAAAAATCATATTGAAGCCCTAATCGAAGCTGAAGTGATTATACAATGCGTTAATAATTATATACAATTACCATAGTGCACTTACCAAAAGACCCAGGGTCTAATACAAAATACCAAACAAAAAACTTACAAAAGACCCGGGGATATTATACAGCAGCGGGCTAGTGTCGTAAGAAAAAAAATTTCATGCATATACATATTCTGCACTTACAATAAGCAGTCTAAAAATTAAAAAAAACTATATTAATTAATAGTGGTCTCATGTTTTGCACAGGGTACTTTGCAAGGGGATTCTTTGGTTAGTGCACTACGGTACGTATTTTTTAATAAAAAAATTTTTTTACTTACTATACATCCTTTTGAGTTGAGGTGCGGAAATACTTTTGTTGGGGACTGTAATTAAATGTTTACATCGTGATGATATACGTGGGTATTGTTATCAAAATGGAATTGGTGGGGAAAGAAAATAGATACAATAAATAAATAAAACTAAACTGAAATAAAGAAAATGAAGTAAAATAAACACACATAAAAAAGAAAAAAAAAAATTTATTACAGTGGATAAAGTTGCACTGTTCTCGGGATTTAAACAAAAATTTCTAAAAATCTTTAAAATTTTGCATAATGAAACACAATTTTAGCTAAAATTTATTAATGAATTTTTGTCATATTAAAGCTTAATATATCTGTGTTTTCAAACTTTTAGCAAAAATATCTCAAAAACAGCCTGGTTAATTTAAGTGTTTAAGTCTATTCTCGGATCCTATTAATCTAAAGAATTCGAAAATATTTGAACATTGAATTAAACAGGACAATGATGAAATAGGTTTGAACATTGAAATAATCAGGAAAATTATGAGATTTTTATTCAAAATTTGAGTTAGTTAAAAAGATATTAAAAATTTTGTTATTTAGTCAGCCAACCGAAAGATCTGATACATAATGGATATTATTCTAGAAAATTAGTTTTTAGCAAGGAATCATATTATTTCGGTGGCAATTGTAAAAAATAGAAATTAAAAGAAATTTTGTGGACTTTTCATGATGGGCATTCATTTGATCACAATAATGTGAAATAGACTATGTATAACCATAATTTTTTATTCGATTACGATACTGAACAAAAATCATTTAAATTTGTGAAAACTAACATTATATTGTACACTCAATTTCATTTCATTTATTAGCATCGATTTAGTCTTGATGTAAATTTGGAGCCACAAGAACTACCATAAAAAATGTGATAACTAGAATTCCGATACTATAAAATATACTAGAAGCTTTTTTAATACCTGTGTAATCTAATAATCTACAACTTTTACCATAATAAAACAATACATTTAATTTATACAGATTTTAAATACAGTCAACTCACTCTAAATGCAATATATTCTATGTGCAACTTTAAATTCTATCTATTCTCTAAATGTTGCCAAAATTCTGGTCTCTACGAGTTGCGCTTAGGAAAATTGACAGTATAAAGAACTATTTCTAGACTCCATATTTATTTATCTGATTTTAATTTTTTAATATCCTCAATAAGATTATTAAGCTTTCCATCAAGATCATCAAGTTTTCCACCTAGTTTTCCATCAAGATCATTAAGTTTGTCATCAATCGTTTTTGTATCTAAATTTGCAATTTTATAAATATGTGGAAATATAAATGGTTTAGATGATTCTTCAAATTTTTCAATTTCAATTTTTTGTATATATTTTTGAAGTTCTTCAATTGTAGCTTCGTAATATCTAATATATTATATTAAATTAATATTATTAAATTAATATTAAACTGTGTAAATATATTGTATTGAGAATTTTAAATAATTACATGATTTCTGGAAACCAATCCTTCCTCCTTCTTTGATAAGGTAACATCCAAAATAATTCGATTTCTGATAGTACCTAAAAAGTATTAAAAAAAATTATATAATAGTGAATAGTGTATATTATATTATGTTTACTCTGTATTAATCATAATATGTACCTTTCTTTTTAATTGTAAAAATGATACATCATTATTTGTATTTTCAATGGCTGTACTGAGTAGCCCAATAAATAAGTTCAATAAATAGATTGTTGTAAAAAATGAAAATGTAACAAGCAAAGTCACTAATGTCCAGTTTTCATTTAAATCCCATGAAGAAACCGCACTTAAATCACCTAATAAATATTAAATTATGATAATTATTATGCTTGGTAAAATAAAATAGTTACTGTAGTTAGTGATTTAATTTATAATAATACAGTACCAATTAACATAAAATAAACTGCAGCAATTGCTGAATCGAATGAAGAAAATAGATTTGTATTTGCACTTGGTGATTCAATAAGATAATCATTACCAATAACACCATCAGATGCAATTGATTTATATCTTGTAACAAGATTCCATGGATTATTAATATCATTATTATAACTTGGTTGATCATATGAATATTCTGTAGTCGGTCTTAATAAAAGATGCAATGAATGTGCAAAAGCAAAAATTATAATGCCTAATAGAATAAGAAAAGAAAAGATTCGTTGCACAACTCCAATCATAATAGCAAAGTAGCTTCCAAAATAATCTATAGCACGGAAAAAAAATAAAAATTTAAATTCAAGTAAAAGGGTTGTAATTGTAATAATCCAAACTGATAAATTTTTTTCAAATAACCAAATCAATGAAACAATAATTGGTAATGATAACGCTACTAAATCTAATAAATTTATTAAATAATATTTATTAAATAATAAGTACCCATAAAATTATATTTACAATCAGTACTAAAATTTTAATGAATTCTATACATACCAAATAAATTCCAAAAATCTGTCAGATAAATTTTTGGACTATATAAAAGTCGTCGAACTTCAATAATAATAAAAAAAATGCCAAGAAATATAGTAATTAATAAAAGGAGTATTTGACCAAACGAAGAAATTTCGCCTTGTGAAATTGTTGCTACTATAGCAAAACAGCACATGAAAATTGAATAAATTGCCCATATCATATAATAATAGCACTTTCCATATGTTTTCCATTTAAAATTAATTAAAGCTTTGATATTCCACCATTTATAATAATCAGATGTATATAAAATATTAAATGGGATTTCTGGTGGATAAATTAATTCATTTGATGTAGAATAATTTTCAGAATATGTTGCAAAATTTATTGCGGGAATCATGAGTTTGACTGTTGGTTTAGAATATGAAGTAAAAAAAGTCGAATTTATAAATTTTAAAGGTCTAAAAGTTAGAGAAAAATTAGGGATCCAAAATAAAACATAATTATAATAAGAAGTAGTATGTAAATCATATGAATAAGCCCCACAGGGTTCAAGGTGTGGTGATTGAGAAACATTATCAATACAATCCTTATAATCATTTCCAGGAATCAAAAAAGCAGTCTGTGATAAAAATCTCTCTATAAATCTGTTACATCTATTATATTTTTCTAATTTAGGGAGTGAAGAAGTAATAACACTTATTAATCTTATAAATATATAAATGTTGCCACATTCAAATTCTGATAAGCTTTTTTCAAGCCAAACCATAAAGACTTTTTTGATTATTTTATTATTAATATCATCTTGTTGTCTTTTTGGATCCATTAATGCATTAAATAGATCTTTTCCATGTAATTGCAAATATAATAAATCTGTTTTATTTATACATTCAGCTATTCGAGTATCTTCTAGATACTTATAATAACTATCCGTTCCATAAAAAGAGTCAATCAGTTTATCAAAGGATTTATTCTTGAATAATGGATCGAATTCATTATCTTGATCATCTAATTGCACATGACTTACGTCCCTTTTTTTTATATAGTTAGACCAACTGTCATAATCAGCTAAACTTTTGATATTTAAATGATCTTTTTCAACATTTATAATGTAATTAAACAAAATAGTACAGGTTTTTTGCCTTTTATAACATTCTATATCTCTAAATAATAATTCTGCATCTTTAATAGTAAGACTATGCGGATTTACTATAAAAAATTGCCTCTGATCATTTTCATGTATGTAGAAAGAAAACAGTAATCTTTCATTGCTATTTGACCCAATAAAGCGCATATTATCCAAAATTAAACCACCTTCATTCAGAGTATCATCAAGTTTATCAATCGCTATATTTTTAAAATTAAATTAGTATTTATCGAAATTATAGATAGAAATTAATATAAATAAATATATTTACATTTTTTTATCAGTATACCATCTTTTACCGAATAAATAGCTATTAGTGCAGGCTTTTTATAATCATCACCTTGACCTGTTCCAATTTTTGTTTCTCCTACAGATAGTAATGTATTGTCATTGTTTAAACACATTTGAAGACATTTCTTGCTATAATATAGATTCCAATCTAAAATATATCTCATCTCAAACTTCAAAGTCGTCAAATCCCATTGTATAATTATGAATGGAAACTCTAAAAGGGCTAACAATTTTCCTTTTGGGGTGATAGAACATTTATAATATTTAGGAAGTTTAATATTTTCCTTGCACTTCCACTGTTGATTATAATTGAAATTAAAGATATACGCCCGATAAACAGGATCTCCTTTAATAATTGCAAGATCTCCATTTTCAAGAAAAGAAATTTCATTACAGAATTCGCTATAAGAATTGTCAAAAAACCCGGAATGATATACGACTTCTCCTTTTAGACCTTTAGCATATAATGCTTGTATTTTACTATTTACAATATCAACAATTTCTGTCAAAAAAAAAGAAAAGAAAAAATTAATAATAATAATTACGATATAAAATGTGAATTTAAATGATAATTTGAGTGATAATTAAATGAAAATAACGTAATTTACCAAAATTATAGGAATCTTCAATAGAATAATCTCTTTCGACATGTAAAATAACATGATTCACATCTGAGACACCAATTAATGCTTTAATATCAAGGGAATCGTCAACATAATATTGGTCGAATCTGAGTTCTCCGTTGGTTTCCTTTATTGGCCATCTAAAAACCGACTTACATTCAGGACTCCAAGTTGCAATATATTTCATTTTTGGAGAGCAAACAATATTAGTTATTGATGGGACATGTTTGCCGACTGATGGATCTAATACGAAGACTTAATTAATATCTCATAGTCTCATATATATAATTAATTTAAAGCTATAATCAAATTGTTTGGTATATATATCAAATTTTCAACTATCCAATCTAGTAGAGTAATCAATCAATCATTGCTATCCTAATTTAGCTAGCTTCAAAATATGTTTAATATTGTATGCATGATATCTTTATTTGTAAGTCTTTTTATTTAGGTTTTCAACCAATTTGATTAAGATTCCATATTTAAAATTTTAATCTATTAAAGAATATATCTGAAAAATACAATTTTTTATATTTACCCCCAACTGGTTTATGCGTTAAAATTTCAACTTCACTCATCTTTAATGCTTCTATATGTTATTAAATCGTAAAGGTATTCATTCGCAAAAATTTTAATTTTGTGATAAGACACTCAGTTATTCAATCATTTTGTGGCTTAAGAATTTAGTATAAAATTCCATCACTATTTATTTGCTTATTTACATTAGTTTGTGGCAAATCGTATTTAATTTTTATATTTATTTAAAGGCTTGGATAAGTAAATATATTTGTCTGGAAGGCAAAGTTCGGGCACAGAATTAAATGATATGCCTCAGAATTAATAAAAGATGCAGAAAAGTTTATCTTCAGTTCGATAATTCGAATATTCTTGCATCTTTAAAAATGAAATTGTTCCTTATTAAAATCCTGACAGTGTTGAAATCCCGAAATTATCCAGCATTGTTATTATAATTAATGTCAATTAATTCTGTTTTTTTTTTTTTTTTTTTTTACAAAATTAACGTTATTTTGAAAAATTTTAGTACTTGAGAATTATGATAATGATTGACTCTGGATGATAAAAGTAACTAAAAAAATGTAAATAAAAATTCCTTGCGATGAATTGATAAAATACTCAAATCTTAAAATTTTAGTATTAATATGTAATATTGATTCTTTATTGTGCTAAACAATATCATCAGGTGCATAATTATTTATAATTTTTATGCAAAATGGGTTTATCAAAATGGTCGATCGCTCACAGTCAGTTTTCGGCCAGTTTGCTCATAACCGACAAACCGCAGTCAGGTGGTCAAATAACTGATCAAATAGTTCAAATCTTTATATGAAAATACGTACGTACGTACATACGTAAATATCGATGTGTATTGCATTAAAAATAATTAGAGATTAAGAACCTAATATTAATGATTAAACCTTTCGCAAAAAAAATTTCCAATTACTGTAAATACATTTTCGCTATTATATTAGGGGTTGAAAGTCATGATAATGTCGTTAGTACGCAGAAAATATCTCACAAGCAAAATTTTGAGTTACAGCCATTTCTGATTTATTCCTTTTTTCACTGATCCCGAAATATGATTGGAAATAAAAAAAATCGCTTTCACCAAAATTGCCGATTAAATAAGATGACTAAAAAATTTTTATGATTCATACATCTTTTGTTACAGCTACAATAAATTATCTTATAACAATTGGATGATTAAATTGAATTGATCAAAAATATTTGACCGATCAGTTTCGGTTTGTAATTATTTATTAATTATTTTAATAAGCAATTATTCTAATATAATCAATCTTATGCTATTACATGATTATTATGAATAGATTCTATCTATAGAATCAATTAGTTTTTAAAAGAGATTAAAGTATTTTATAATGAAGGGAGGTTTCTAATGCACTAATTCTATTATCATTATGATTAAATGAAGCCAATGTGGAATTTTTTAAAAGTGTGTTTACTAGTACTGTATTATTATAATCAAGATTCAACGAAGTTAGGGTTGTACAGTGGGGTGCTATATTATTGTGGACACTTTTTAAAAATTTGTGCATGCTAAATATATAACACATAAAACCAAAAATTAAAATATAAATTCTTTAAATCTATATTTTTTAAATAAAAAAAAAGATTAAAATTTCTATGCAACAGTTTTTAAAATAATAAAGTTTAAGTAAATTTTAGATTTAGTATGATTTCTATTTTATAATAATTTAAATTACCAAATATAGTAATATATAGCAATTTTTTAAATAAAGTTATTTAGCATAACAAATTGTATATATTCTGAAAATTTTATAATTTTTAAAAAAATATTTATTAAAATACTATATATAGTAATAAAATTTCTATATTTGGTAATTTATTAATTTTAAATTAAACAAATTAGCTTTTATATTTGATAATAATAGTATTTAACTTAAATTTTTAAAAATTTAAAATTAAAACAATTTGTTATGCTAAATAAATTTACTTAAAAATAAAATTCAGTTTACTTAATAAAAAATTAACTTTTTAAATATATAGCAATTATAATAACTAATTTTTAAAAAATTACTATTTTAATATATGTATAATATTACACAATATTATATAATTTATTATTTAAAAGTACTACATAGAATTTTATAATTTTTTTTTTATTTAAAAGATATAGATTTAAAAATTTTATATTTTAATTTTTAGTTTTATATCTTATATATTTAGCTTTGTACAAATTTTATTAATAAAAAGTGTTTACAACAATATGGCATCCCACTGTATTTTTTTAAAAGAGTGTTATTAATATCTTTATCTGATTTTGTTAAAAGTAAGGTATAAATGCATAAAATAATATTTCTGTTGTGTGAATTTTCTAATATTTTTACTTATTTTTTCACAGTAAAAAAGGTTGTATAAAATAAAGCTAATAAATAGTGGTATATAAATTTTACAAGCATTTTATCTAAAGTATACTTGTTTTTGTTATACTTTATCTTGCTAATAAACTGCCACAGTGAAGTAATGTTTTACTTGAACCTACTATGAGTTTTGGAGCCATGTCTTATATTACTTGTATTATATTAAGAAAGCTATAATGCTTGTAACAATATACTGTATATATATATATATAACTATTGTTTGCTTATAACAATTTTTTAATAGGCTAAATTATAAGTTTGTACAATATAAGTAATCTTAATACAGATGATACAATAATAGTTTTAAGTCTTTTAACCAAATATAATAGTTTATTTTTTATAATAAATACTACATAATTGCAAAATAATTTTAAGTATTTTGTTTTTTGTTAAAAAAAAAACTTTAAAATAAAGCAAAGCTTTAAAACAAAGTGAAGTTATTAAAAATATTTATATTTATACAAAAGCTTCTGTAAATTAGTAAAATACAAGCTTTATTATACTATAAAATATAAAACAAGAAACTATATTTAAAGACAAGATTCTTTTTAGTTTTATTTTTTTATCTAATTTTAAATTTATTTATAATATAGAGTTTTAAAAGTAAAAACTAGATAATTTTACTACTTATAGATTTTGAAAAAAATCAGTAAAAACTATTTTGTTATACAAAATCAAAACAATATAAAAATAGTTTATTCAATATTAACAAACCTGTTTAAATAAGATATTAGATTTGTAGATTACTATTGTACTAGCATCTGAACTAGTCAATCTATTTTTAGATTGTAGCAACAAAAGTTTTTAACCATTGTATCACAAAAATTCATTAAGGGAGTGTTATTTATCATCTGATTTTTTTTTATCAGAAGTATACCCCCTCCCCTCTTTTTATTATATATTTAATTAGGTCTTTATATATAATTTTAACCTTTTTTACCCTCTTTTCTCCTAAAAAATCATCTGATTTTTATTACTTCTCTAAGTGATCTGACTTTTATTATTAAGTAAAAAAGATTGGGCTTTAAATTTTATATTTTTTTTTTCCAGTATTAAGGTGATTTCTATAGCTAGTGCTTTTTATTAGATAATTAACAATGTTATAATTATTATGAGGATACAACTAGCCACATATACAACTTTTTGTTATCTATTTTAAGTAGTCTTCCCAGGTTCTATATTAGCTGCTATATCTGCAATCTAACTAGAAAATTATTAATTTAAGCTCTCTGGCTTTTATAAGTGAGAGTATAACTAGCTATATCTGCAACTTTTGGTTATCTATTTAAGTAGTCTGCTATAGGTTTCACACTAGCTGCCATACCTGCAACCCAACTAGAAGATTGTCTATTTAAACTCTCTGGTTACAACTATTCTGTGATTTCTTATCTAACCAAGATATAATTTACTATTCATATGCTAGATTTTGCATTATCTGTAGATTTCAAACACTATCTAGAACTACTTTATTTATAAGATAAACCTAACAGAGCAATACATATCTCATATATATACTTATTTGTAAATTCGATAACTTTTTTCTATCTGGTACCTGTTGTATTGCCACTACCGAGTTCATATTTCAAGCTATTTTTTAGAATACTGCTTTAATCTGATTCATATCTCAAACCACAATCTTTCTATTTTAATAGTTGTTAAGTACTCTTTGTTCTTGTATTTGGGTTAACACAATTCCAGTATTTATATTCAAACTTTTTTTTTTGGATTCTTTACTGGTCTTTTCTTTATTTTTAGCTAGCAACACAGAAGGGTTGATCCATCTAGACCTTAGATGTCTATATAGTCTTCTTTTCCTTGGTATATGCTTTCAGAGTAAATGTTCTTTTTCTCTAGTTTGGCAACCTGGTTGTTTAGCTAATATATCTCTCTACTTAAGGACCTGGTTATTTAGTTCTCTAATCTTGGTTCTCAGTTTCAAATTTGGTCTTTCTGTAGTACTGTTGAAGATTGCACTATTTCCTATCTTAGGACTTGCTAAATGGGTTTTTATTTATTTTAGCATCTCAGTTTTATTATGCCAAAGCTCTCATTCTAGATAGTGTATCTAAGATTACAGATTTCTAGATACTATCAATCATTAAATAACCATTAACTGTATTACAGAGCTATTTTTCAAAAACATTGCTTATGTGATTCAAACTCTAAACCTGCTATTTGGAAGTGTAACAACTCTATCACTTCACTAAGTCACTATACCCTGCTTTAAATTTTATATTTGATTAATTAAATAGATTAATTTTTAAAA